TTTATTTATTAGATATACGTTATAGTATTAGTAGTAAATAGTTATATCGATTTGATAGGAATTAGTTTGTTTTGAGCTAAATTATCTATTAAGTCACATCAAGGATGTTAATAGAGCGGTAGGTATGAATATATCAAAGTTTGGTTGTTCTTTGTTGTTATAAATGGTTAAAGGCATTGAGGTTTCTATAATTTTCGTCTTCTTAACAAATGTTTAGATGTTGGTAACATATTGGTTTATTGAACATGTAACATTTCGATAAAAAATTGACATTGACTATATAAAAAAAACTTCTAGTCAAATTTATAAACAAACATCGACATTTATAATATATGTTATAGATTCTGCAGTCTCAAACAGTAAATATTGGAGACTATCTTTGTTTGATCACTGGTGATACTGCTGTTTCCTAGTTTGGACCTCACCACATCTTCATAATGGACATGGTAATTTCAGTTCATGGTTGAGACCTGATTTCAATTGAGTTTACACTAGGCTTTGTGCAATAAGTTGAATCTACTAGCACTGTTTGTTATGCATAGCATAATGTGGTTGGATGGGACTACAGAGCATTCGTAGGTCCATTTGTTGGTTATGTTTAATTTGGTAGTTGATGTTTTCTACAGCATTGTGCATTTTTTCTTCTGTCTCCAATATAATTAAGTACTGGTGGTTCTCGGTTGTAAGTATCTTTCTGTATTGATTTTTCAGCGTATTAAGTCAGTGAACATGTAGCAATGAAGTGTCGCTTAGTAATGGAAACCATTGTTTTGGAATGAATTTAATTTTTGTTAAATGCTCAATGTTAAAGTACATAAATTCTTGGCAACTTATAAAAAAATTGAAGATAACGCTGAAGAACCTTATGAGGATACTGATGCTCCCCAAGTCGAGCTACAAAGTTCTTGGGTCATCTTTCTGGTCTTAGTTTCTCAGTAAGTTTGTTAAATGCGCCTTAAAGGCTCAAAGAATTATGTAAGTACAGATCTTGCAACAAGACATTTTTGAGTTTATTTATAGTACTAATTTTTCTAAATCTAATAATAATCCTGTTATTACTTGGAATACACCATCATTAAACAAATTTTCTCTCAATCTGTGTCTGTGAATTGACAAGGAACGATGCATAAGAATTCATATATCATTCCTTATCTCCACATTGTGTCTAATCCTGTTGGACATCCATGAAAGCAGCAGAACTCTTTAATTTTCTTGAATAATGGAAATCGTTTTGATAATATCAAACTGACTGCTTTGTAGCTAGTGTAGTTAGGGCAAGTACCGGGTACTATAAAATGACCCACATCCTGGTATGATGTGCTCAGATTCTCGTGTCCTCAGTATGCACTACCATCTTGCTAGCGATGAGCCATTAGATATTGACTATAATGACCGTATTTCTACCAAGTTGGACTGTTTATAGTCGAAGCAACGTACCTAGGTAGGCTTCTCCTATTCGTCTTCACTTAATAGCTGTTACCACCCGTTATTATATAATAAGCCAGGTGGATAAAAGAGAAAATGACTGGTATTTACTTAACTTTTCTTGTCCAGATCACGTGAGGCTTCTAAATGATGTTTTTCAGTCGCCATATGGATGGCTTTGTCATTGACCAAGGTGGAGTCTGTGTCGTACCGTTCTTAATCTGTTCAGTGTGCAACAATTCATAAAATGTTGCCAGCTCCTCCCTAGGGTCCTCGGCGTCAACTTTTCTACAGCTGCTTGAAAAGTGATTTCAATTGGCTTGTCGTCACTAGTAGATAGGGAGAAATTACATCAATTCTCATCACAATAATAATTAGTTCTGTACTAGGTCATTAAAAAATAATTTATCTTGACTTGACTGAACTTTTGGTGACAATTAAATACCAACAGTTTTTAAACAAACCAAAAGATCAGAAGTCTCAAAACAAATTACGTCCTATCAAATTTTAGCCAAGTAAGTCGACAGTGTGTTTATATTCTCATATTAAGAAAGTTCATATCAAGTGTATATTATTAATTTCCTTTGAAAATGTAAAAGTAAAATATATACTTCATTCAAATGTGCAGTTATCTAAATGGATTTTTAGTATTCTGCAAAAGCTGTTAGTAATTTTATGAGTATAAGCCCTCATCGCCAAGGACTCGGCACGAACTGATTAATGCCGCACATTTTAAAGCACAAATTGTTGGTATGTTTGGTATTAGTATTTTGTTATATGTTATTAAACTTATTAATGGTAATCAATAATCTTATACATTATGAAAAGATGTGAATCTGTTTATTTGAGTGAAGTATATCATTTCTTTTTTACTTTCCTTATTATAAGAAAATATATACACACCTATAAATGTGATATGCATAGTTTATGATTGTGTCATAGACTTAAATGTGTAAATATCGGAATAAAGAAAGTATTTTGATAATAGTAATGAGTCTTTATTATTCATATTTTACCAGTTCCTTATTTTCCTGCAAAACTATCCTTATAATACTTTTTCTTTATCTGGCATACGGTAAGTAAAAAAGATGTAAAGAGAAATAATATTCGTTCGCTCTTTATTTGCACAAGTATATTAATAATAGTGAAGTCTCTTGTCCGCTACCTAACAAGAGACTTCAGAGCCAGAACTTGGGCCATTGAAGATAACACTGGAACCCTAAGAACAAACAGATAAGACATAGCAGAGACATGGAGATCGTATTGCAGGGACCTATATAAAGATGATCAACGCCAAGAGCTTGTTCTCTGACGAGGTGGAAGAAGAACCTGATATACTCGAAAATGAAGTAAGACAGGCTATCAACAAGCTCAAATATAACAAAGCACCAGGTCCAGATATGATAACAGCAGAAATGCTTAAGCCACAGAAGAAACCGGCGTAAAGTTACTTCATCTACTCTGTAACCAAATATGGCATTCCAAACAATGGCCTGAAGACTGGACAAAATCTACAATAACGACCATACATAAAAAAGGCAGCTTCCGTAAATGCGACAATTATAGAACTATCTCTCTTATATCCCATGCCAGCAAGATAATGCTACATATAATCAATGAGAGACTGAAAACATTCCTTCAAAGAGAAATTCCACAAGAGCAAACTGGATTTACCAAAGGTAGAGGCACTCGAGAACACCTGCTGAATATAAGACAGATAATCGAGAAATCTAGGGAATTCAACATCCCACTATACATCTGTTTTATAGATTACCGTAAAGCGTTCGACAGGGTCAAGTGGAGACACTTATGGCGAATACTAACAGAAGTAGGCGTACCACAACATCTAATTACGCTTATAACCGAACTATATGAATACACTACTGGATCAGTTAAAGTACTTGACACACTTTCGAACGAATTTCATCCAGAACGGGGTGTCAGACAAGGATGTATACTATCTCCACAATTATTCAACGTATATGGAGAGTATATTATGCGAAGAGCACTTGAAGGATGGGAAAAGGGCATCTCAATAAATAGTCATACACTAAACAACCTACGTTTCGCAGATGACACAGCCCTTGCAAATAGTCAAGCAGAGCTGATAGAACTTATAGGACTGATCGAAAACGAAAGTCAAATATTTGGTCTGCAATTAAACATATCAAAGACAAAGATCATGATAGTGGATAGACTACACAACAATCATCCACACATAACCACAATTGACCGGTTCGAGGTTGTGAGCTCATACTTATATCTGGGATCATTAATCACAAACACAGGGTCATTACAAGAAGAGA